TCTCTTTGTTGAAACTCATCATTCTCTCTTGCACACAAAATCCATTCCCAAGACAGTGGTCCACTTTTTAAGGATTTCCTCCAAAGACTGCGACTTCGGTTGACCTAAGAAGAGGAATTAAGGTGCCCTGATTTACGTGCATACATTAAACAAGTTAAAATAAAGGAACAGACCAGTTTTTAGTTTTCTCATAGATTAAGGAAAAATGTAGGGAAATACCTGCCCCCCCACCCCCCCCAATTTGTTTATGAGAGAGTAACTATTGTGCAGAATGCTGATGAGGCCAGAGGTGCTTATCTTCCTTCCCTCCTTCCTTCCTGTCTGCCTTTTTCCTTCCTTCCTTCTGTTTTTCTGTCTTTCGTTCTTACAGGTGGTTATTGAGTGCCTGCTATGACAGACTTTGTGCTAGACCCTGAAGATACGATTATAAATAAGACAAACAGAGGTCATAGCCTTTGTAAAACTTGCTGGAAGAGACAGAAAAACAACAAATAATTAACAATAAATTATGCACATAATTATGTGATTACGCTAGGTAAATTCAGTATAGAAAAAGCATAGAATGCGATGCGGGGAATAATGGGGGCCTTAGACTGATGAGCAATGGAGACCCCCAGGGGAAATGCCATGTAAAGTGACACTTGAGAGATGAATAGGAGGAGGCAGGTAGAGGCAACGACATCCCTGGCAGATGAAGAAGGGCCTATGCAGGGAAAGGCTGAAAAGTCCGAGCGGATTCAGAGCTCCAAGTGAGGAACAGAGACGTGCAAGATGCACCTAGAGAGGTAGTCAAGGGCCATAACTTGCAGCACCTGGCGGACATTATCTATAAGTCTGGACTTTATCCTAAGAGCAGGAGGAAGCAACTGAAGGATGAAATGACCTCCCTGTGTGTGTATGTGTGTGTGCAGATGGTCAAAATTACAGAACTTGATGTATCTTTCTTATGTGTTTGAGAACATTTTAGAAAATTCCATTGGGAATCCACAATCCTTCTGACATGAGACTTTAACGTTAAGTGCCTTATCCAATTTCAATATGTCAATACCAAATATTTTTTGTGTCTCTCAAATCTTCAAAGTCTTGTGAATCATCCTGAGTAATTTTTGGGACTGAGTTAGTTAGAACTGGCTTCAGAAGACACAGTGAGTGCACAAGCCTTCGCTCACTGATTTTTGGTACACCTGAACTGGGGGAATATTTGTGGAATCAGAAAAGGTAGAGCAGAATCCAAAAGTTCTTGGGAGCTAGTCCTCTAGTTTTTTATTTGTTGTTTTGTCTTTCCAGTGTTTCTGAGAAGTGCAAATTTTACTGTTGATGCCGTTTAAATAATATTTGCCCTTGATCTTGACTTTCCTTGCCCAGTGTGCCAGACTGTCTGTTGGCAACTCGATATCATTTCCCATCTTCTCTGCACTACCACTATTCCAGGGGCTTTGAAGAGTAAGAACTAAATTTCTTAGAATCTCTGCCCGCAGAATTCTGCTTTAGATTCCACTAGTGAAAGACACTTGTGCAAGAGATGGAAGGCAAAAGAGAATCAGAAGCTATAACTGCTTCTGAGCAGCATGAGTGGGTGTTGGGATGGTAAATGGCAACAATAAAATTTTGCCAGAGGTTTCTGGGTGTTCTCCTGCAATTCCTCAAAACCACTTAGGTGCTGGAGACGGTGAGATCATCAGTGTCACTTTCCCTAAATTCATGCATTTCCTGATTTCTTGAGTGCTAGTGGTGGCTTCCCTAACCTTTTGTCCCTCAGCCTTTCCAAGAGATTTTAAGTCTCTGGTTCCCTGTGTAGGATCCATTTCTTCATGAAATATCTAGAGTGGTTTCTGTTTTCCTAACTGAACTCTGACAGATACAAACCATTCTTAGTTCATATTTGTAAAACTGAATTAAATTTGTTTAGTGAATTGACAACTGTTTTCCAAGAATATGATTTAACAAGCCAGAATGATTTTGCTAATCTTTTCTTGGATATTCTGTTCTTAGTCCTGACTTCTGCACCCCTCCCTAATTCCTCATCCTCCATAAAACTCTCTGCTAGATCTACATAGCCTGTAAATTGAAATCCCCCAACTTCTTAGTTTGGATTATATGGGCCTTATAAGCTGCTTCCCACCGTATTTTGCCTTATCATCTCTGGTCTTGCCCTCTTGAATCCCTAGTACCATGAGTCTCTCATAATGGATGTTTCTGGGTCTCTGCTCATATGTTTCTCTCTGCTTAGATGTATACTTCTTGTTTTTCTACTAAACCCACACACATTCTTGAAGATCCAGCTCAAATATCTCTTCTCCTTCTTCACGTTTTTTTCTCATGACTCTCACCAACAACCCCAACTAAACCTCAATAGCAACCCGTATGTAAGCCTAACACATGTTATTATATTGTTTTCTAGCTATTTGGGTTTTTCAGTTTTCACATTCACTTGATAGCAAATTCTCTGAGGAATGGAGCTCATTCATTTTTATTAATCTCAAGAACTTAGAACTCAATAAATGGTCATGAACTTGAAATATTGAGCTGGAATAGACTGTTACCTATGTGCCATGTGTACAAAAAAACAGCTAGAAGAACCACTAGAATCTTTTCAATAAAAGCAAAAAACTTTTCAAATTGATCTAATGCTTCCTAAAGTAGCCTAGGGAAAATTTTGACTTTACTCTTGTCTTGCAAAAAAGAAGAAAACTACTAAAGGCATTTTCTTGCTTTTCAAAAACTGATGTTTTGAATATGTATTTTTTTTCAAGATATAAAAATGTAACTCCTGCTATAGCCTTTGGGCATACGTGCAGTTATAAATATAACATTAAAATACAAGTATACATCATAATTTAATTGTATCATACAACACAGGGGAGGGAAGAGAGCGAGGACGGCGTGTAACTTGCAATCGAAGCTTCTCCTGGACAGCCAGCGGTGTGGGGCAGAGATGAGAGAGCAGAGCATGAGTGGGCCGTGAGGAATCTTATGGCCTGAACTGGGATTGCGTTGAAGAATAGCTATATGAAGTCTTTGGCGTCCCATCTGGCAAAACAGTCCTACATGGTTCTCCCAATCACAGCCCTTGACAAACCCAAGAAGCAGTTTTAGATCCTGAGTCCTGATGAAATGGGCATAAGCACAAAGAGTATGATAAATGGCAAAAGCTTTGTGGTAACACTCTCAATGCCAACAGACTTAATTCTTAATTTTTATGTGTTACTGGCTCAGTGTGGACTTTTGAGCAAGTTATTCAATATCTTTGGGCCTCTGGTGCCTCATCTATTTATGGGGCCAGTAATGTGTGACTTGCACTTACTTCACAAGATTGTTTTGTACTTTTCTTCTGGACATTTACGTATCCAGTTCCAAAGCTGACTCCAGGCAAGAGTATAAAGTAGAGAAGGTTTTTTCTTGGTGCCGTCCCATAGCCAAATTCAGAATTCCATCCTCCTTTCTGATTCCTCATTCTACCATGGTTCCTATTCCTAATGGGCCCTGCTAGACAGCACGTTAACTGTCCTTTGAGTTATAGGTGACATTTGCATAGCATTTTACAACATATGTGAGGATTTATTTGACCCTTACAATAGCTTTGGGAGATGGTAATTATTATGATTCATATTTTCCAGACCACGAAATTGAGACACAGGTATACATTAAGAATTTTACTCAGAACCACATACTCAACAAGTGGTATGTCTGGGTTTGGAACTCAAGAAGTTTACTTGACAAAACTAATACTTCTGAGGGAATACATGAAATTCTTGAAGATTTAAAAGTTTTGGACCATAAAAGAATGAGCTTATATAGGAGCTCCCTGGGGGTAAGCTTCATATTCATCTTATCCATGGTTGGATTCTCAGCCCACAGCAAAGTGCCTCACTTGTAGTAGTCACTATTTCAAAATAATAGATGAGTGAATGAATGAACTAATGAATAGGATGGCAGTGATAGTCTTGACCTATCTATATATCTCTGTATTTATGGCCTATCTATATATAGATGTGTGTGTGTGTCTATATCTTATATACACATTTATGTATGTACATGTATGTATATGTGTGTATATACATATTTATTTTGTTGTTTTTTACAAATAGATTATCCTTTCTCATTTCATTGTTTTTCTTGACAAAAATCCTAACCTCTACATTTTTATTCCTTTTTTTTATGCAGTGACGAAATTCTAGGCTGGTCATTACAAGGATATTTTTGGATTTTTAAAATAAATTTTTTCTTTGGAATAACTTTATATTTGCATAAAAGTTGCAAAAAGAATACAGAGAGTTTTGGCATACCCCTCACCCAGCTTCCCCAAATGTTCACATCCTACTTTACCGTGGTTTATTTGTCAAACCTAAGAAACCCACGCTGGTATATTACTATTAATTAAACTCCAGACTTTATTTAGATTTCACTAGCTTTTCCACTAATGTTCTTTTTCTGTTCCAGGATCAAATTCATGATACCACATTGCATTTAAATGTCGTATTTTAGTCTCCTCTGGTCTGCAACAGTTTCTCAGTCTTTCCTTATTTCTATCACCTCAACAGTTTTGAAGATTCCTGGTCAGTTATTGTGTAGAATGTCCCTTAATTTAGATTTGTCTGATTTGACTGTGGTTATAAGTTTTGGGGATGAATACCACAGAGGTGAAATGCCCTTCTTGTCATATCCTATCAGGGAGTTCACGTTATCAACATGACTTATCATTGGTGATATTAATCTTGATCATCTGGCCCAGGTAGGATTTGGCAAATATCTCCACTCTAAACTTACTCCCCATGTCCTCCTTGCATACTCTATTCTTTGGAAGAAAGTCACTAAATCCAGTCCGGTTCAAGGGCAGGGAAGGTAGCTGGGGCAGTGGGGGGGGAGGGCATTAAGAACCATCTGCTGGAGTGGAGAGTATCTGTATAAATTATTCAAAATTCTTCTGAAAGGAAGATTTTCTCTTCTTCTCATTTATTTATTTATTCCTTCACTTATTTATAGCAATATGGACTCATATATATTTATTTTATACTTTGGGCTATAATTGAATACTGCTATTTATTTTGTTGATCCATTGTTCCAGCTTTGATTTTTTTTTTTTTTTAAGATTTTCATTTTTATGGTCTCTCACTTATCAAAAGGGTGCCACCATCTTAGCCTAGCACCATCAAAATTGGTTGGCTCGAGACTTAATCTCGTGACATTGAAGGCTCCCATTACATCCTCATGTTGCAATTAGTCATAGATTTTCTTCTCTGTGTGCTCAACAATTCACTGAAGTCAATCCCATCTCCCTTCCCCAAGACCACTGGTGATGGTTTCGGACTATGATGTGGGGTTCCTAAGGCTGCTTCTGAAAAGCAAAAATGTAGTGAAAGTTGTAAAGGGCTGAGTGTCTGATATTTCAACACTTCAAAATGATCTTTGGGAAAGCAGGGAGGAATGGGGGAAAAATTCCCGTGAGATTCCATTCACTGTTCCCTTGACTTCTTCGATTTCAGTAGCAATTGGAGGCTTAAGACAGGTGATGAATTTGGTCCAGAGTGAGGTTAGTTGAGAAGGAAATGAAAACAGAGGTTTAACAGGAAGATTAGTGGACTTTCTACCTCTGGGCAATAAATGTCTGCTTTGGTCCTCACTAATCAGTTTTCCACATGCCTCATGCCATTTGCCTTACTTAGGATGAGTTGTTAGAGCTCCATTAGGAAGTGTTCAAATCACTGTTTTGAACAGGCTGAGTTTTTTTTTCCGATGCCCTCCTTTTAACCCACTTCCTTTTTTCTGAGTGTAGGCACACAGAGGCCTGGTCAAGGGGGAAATTATGCTGATTAGGAAGCATGGTCCAATTAAAGCAGACATGATGGGGAAATTGCCTTGGAGTCCAAATATGTGACTCCAGGATAGAGAGGCCTCTTTAACACCTGCGATGAGAGTGTACAAATTCCATACCTCACAGCTTGGGGCAGAGAGAATAGGCATCTGATAAATTTGCTTGTAAAAACTATTGGAGCCAGCTAAATAATAATACGTCCCTTGACAGGGAGGGAAAACTGTGTGGTTTCCTTTAGTCCTGTGATGTTTAGAAGACATCTAAATATTAAAGAGGCAGAAAGAGGAAGATTAGAGAAAGATGGAGCATAAATAGTCCTTAATTAACTCCCTTCAAATCTGTAACCTTTTACTTCCATTCTCTCCCCTCCATTCCCACCAAAACCTCAGGTTTTCTTGTCCCCCACTTCCCTCAATTTATAATGAGCATTTATATCATAAGATCACAACTTTAGCAGTGTTGCAAATCTAAAATTATTTCAGCTTTAGGAGCGAGGATAGCAGAGGGTCAGGGGACATAAAGGAGAAATTGCTCATTTTGAAATGCCCTTTGAAGTGCTCCTTGTACCCTCTGTTTAGTTTTGAGAAAGTTTCACAGTAGTTGACAGATTATGTAATCCACTCTCCCACTGATAATTTTTTGGCATGGGGAGATTGTACAGGTATTTCGATTTTAGCCAGTCTCTAGTTAATAATCAATAGTCCTGTTGTCTAATGAAGTGATGGCCTTGACACCCTGGCCTTTGTGCAGTGTTAAAATAACATTGATCGCTATCATTATCATATGCCCTTGATACACTGAATAAGGACTTGGATATCAATCTTGGAGCAAAGTAACATTTCATAAATCTTGTAGAAAGAACCAGGATTGTCCAAACAGGCATATGCTTCTTGACAGCAATGTGACAGAGCAGTCTAAGACACAGATAATTTATAATTTATCTCTAAACTCAGATTGAAGAAAGACTCAAAAGTAACATTTCATGTAAAAAGTGTTTCTTTATCGGCCAAAGAGGACAAGGGAGCCTTTAGATTTTCTTTTTTACAGTAGATAGGATTGGGCAGGAGGCTCCCATGGCCCTTCTGGGGTGGAGGGATGGAGGAAGAGGTGAGTAATTTCTCTTGGTTATTTGGAATGGAATTTGTATGGAGAACACTTTGGAACAGGACAGGCTTTCATTCAGTCCGACTGAGGAGCTGGATGGAAAAGGATTTGTTTTTCTAATAAACTGTTGGTCAGAATCTCAGATTTCAAATTTTTTCACTCACATTTAATATTTTAATCTCTACAACTAGTTTCTTATTAAGAAAAAGTAGTTATCCAGGTGATTATTCTGATTCTCCTAGTATTAATGGATTGAATTCATCCTTATTGCTAGATAACAAAAGATAAAAAATCAGGAATATTGGATCAAAATTTCAAGATAAAATTCTTTCTTTGATAGCATTCCTCTTCTAAAACAATACATTCATGGTTCATAGTCTTTGGTAGGCACTCGCACCGCAAATACAAAGAGACATTTGTTCAGAGAAAAAGGCCTCCACCCAATAATTTCCCAGCCCAGAATAGTTACAGAGAGTTGTGTGAAGATTCTGAGGATCCGAGTGTAAATAATTCACAGCAGTTACATTTGTGTTACAGAATTATCCCTGCACAGTCCACAGCCTTCCAGAATGAGTAAACAAGAAGAAAGTGTACAACAAGTTCTTGAAATCTGCTGAATTCTCAAATGGAGAAATTCGCTTAAAGGAGGCAAAGGAGATCAGGAGTCTCACCCAGGAGGCAGGCAGGTGAAACACCAGGATGGTTTTCTTCTCATTTCAGAAGGCAAAGATGGCCTCCTATTTTTATTTTATCATTTTAATTTTATTGAAACATATTTTTATTTTTTATTTCTGTTTGTTTAAATGTATTTACTGTTACTAATTTAAGAATGTAAAGATGGTCTCCTACTTAAAAAATAAACACTGGTTTTGTTTCTTAAGGTACAAAGAGGTATTACTCATGAAAAACCAGATGTATGTGTTGTGTGTTATGCATGTGCATGTGTGCCTGTGTATATTTCCACTCTATACACACACATAGCTCTTATTAGTGCTACTGAGGATATGGCTGCCAGACAGAAAAACGTACCTCTTGGGCCAGCCTCATGGCCTAGTGGTTAAGTTCAGTGTGCTCCGCTCTGGTGGCCCATGTTCAGTTCCCAAATGCGGACCTACACCGCTCAGTTAAGTGTCCATACTGTGCTGGTGCAGCCCACAGACTGAAAAATCGAGGAAGATTGGCATGAATGTCAGCTCAGGGTGAATCTTCCTCAGAAAAAAAAAAAAAACTACCTCTTTGTAAATTGAGTGTGAAATAGATATTTTATAAAAATAAGTTTTAATTGTTACATACTAAAATCTACTTAGATATGTGCAATATCTGCAGATATTTAATCTGGCTGGTAGTAATTGAAATAAAATTAAGAGAATCCAAGGCTACGACAATTCTTTTTCCTTCTTTGGCTTCCTCTTAGAGGATTATTATTTTACACTTTTATTTACAGGATATTTGTGGAGGTTACGTTTCAAAGATCGAGTAAAAGGCGCACCAGCTCTTTCTGAGAGCTTGTTCTCAGAAACCTCGAGGTGGAGAGTGAGAAGGATGCATAGATCTATGTGCCCACGGGTAGGTATTCACTTGTCTGTAGTCGTTTTGGGCGCTCACGCTTAGTCAACGACACTCCTGAAGGAAGCGTAGTAGGGATGGTGTGCAGGAGGATTGCTCTCCTGACTAAAGCCTGAAGCCTTTTTTAATAAATGATTTCCTTCCCTTAAACAAAGGAGGAGAGCTTCCGGCTGTGTAAAACCTTTACTCACTAATCTGCCAAAAATGTAAATATTTTTACAAATATGTTATTTACTAGGCAGGAAGCTTTTGGGGAGGTGGTGGGTGGTAGAGGAACACAGATCAATGTGCCGGCAGTAAGAGCTTTATGACCACTCCAGACCCAACTGTCATTCCTCCGGTACCTCCTGTCAGTCTGACTAAATTCTGTCATCCCTCAACCCGGTTTAAATTAACAGGTAATTTGTAAATGTCACTTCAGGTTAGGCCGCTCATTTTGTTTCTACTCTACCAATGCAAAGTCTAGGACTAATTTTTCTTGTCTTCTTTTAATAGGATTTTCATTTATAAATAGAATTATGTTCTGAAAATAAATTACAGTAAGTGATGCACAGAACGGGGAGCAGCAGCACTTTCATAGAATTTCAAGCACCTACATCAGAAGAGATTAATAAAAACACTTCAAAGGCTAAATTCTATTTAAGCAGAAGACAGCTTTTGGTTAATATTTAATCTGAGTAACGGAGATCTTGCTGGAAAATATAATTTTTTAATATCTAAATTAATTTTCAAAACAAAACCATTAATTTTGTTTGGAGAGTTTGTGCAGTGGGAAAGTTTTAGTAATATATTTGTAGAGGGAAAAGTTAATCAATTAATTTTGCGGCGAAAAAATTAGCTTTTAATATTGTGTTTGTTCTAAATGAATTCTTATTATTTGATCAGGTGTAGTGCTTTAGAATTCTTCTTCCTGAGCCTTTTCCATCTTAGTAGGCAAAGGAGAAGTCTCTAGGGGAGGGAACTTTTTTCTAATCACTCTTCCGTGGCTGCCACGCCCTTTGCCTGGTCCTTTATGTAAAAGGCCTCAAGCTGGCACCCTGTGCCTCTCCACCCCTGAAGGCTGCGAGGCTGGCTAACGGGCTTTGGCGTGTGGAAAGCTTATGGCACTGTCGCCATAGTGGGTCCATTGCAAACATGGGATTTTTCGCAGAGAGGCAATTGTGATTAGAGACGCAGTGGGAAATCATGTTAGGTTGAAAGGGAAAATGAGAGCTCTTGCTCTCCAAGTCACCGGACAAATACCCACCAGATGTTAACTGATTGAGACAAACAATGTGTGTATGTAGGTATATGACTTGAATAAAGAAATTCATGGAACTATCAAGTCAATCATTTGTGCCACCTCCCAGTTCTGTCATTTACTAGCTTTGCCACCTTAGACGTGTCCTTTCTCCTTTCTGAGTTAGAAAATGCATTGTAAATGTAATACTGTGTCTGGTCTGACTCAGGGAGGGTTTATGTAGCTGAACCACGCTGCCCATGCTATAATCCTATTTTGTGAGAGCTGTAGGCTTTTTAACAAAACCACAGCCTTTACTACTCTCCTAATCAGGACTGGATACGGCTGGACTGAGAGACCTTTGTCTTTCTTCTGTCTTGCAGCTGGGGCAGCACCATTTTAACAGGAAGATAAAGGGCATCTTTAATACTTAGGATCTGAAATTAGTTTAACAGAAGCTCCAGGTTCAGTCCAACTAACCATTCTGTTGCTGTGTTCTCCTACCTTCTCCCTTCATCCTATTTTGCCAATGCTCCTCTTGGACTCTTCTCTCTATATTGAGTGGGAGATGTGGAGACAAAGAAATTCCCATTGTGTTTGGTCCAAGCCTTCACCGAGTTCCTTCTCCATCTCTTCTCTACTGTGGTTCAATGAATAAGTGCCCTGTGGACTTCTTAATTCCCTAAAGTGACTATCTTCTTACTGGATATAGATGTTTAATAATTACAGTCATGTAATCTCATTATAGAAATTTGGGGAATGGGAAAATTGTTACTTAGAACCCCACCATCCTCACATGCTGTTGTCATATTCCCTTCAAGTATTTTTTTCATATCAGCTTTTTAATTCCAATGTAATTTTTATCAGTATACATATTATTTATAACATTTTTCTCTTAATGTGCCATTTCCTTTGCCCATGTTTTCACATAGCTTTTATAGTAATCGTATTTCCAAAAGAAAAGATTATTAATTAAAGGAAGCACAATCTGAACTCTTTTAACAAATATTCATATTGCACTCACTTTAGGAATAGTGATTGAGAAGATTTTATGTATCTTGCATTTTGCTATTAACAATTTCTTCCCAATGACAAAGAACTGACATTTTCGCTTGGAAACAGTGCTGCCATGGGCATGGCTCCATTTGCTCAGGGCTGGGCCTCTCTGCGGGGTATCCACCTGGTAGAGGGGGCTCTGCATTCCCTATCAAACACCTCTTCACCCTGTGTTGAAGCTTGTTCACATGCATGAAGCCTTCTTTTTGGTAGATGATATATGTCAGAAAATATTTGGCTATGAACCAATTCAGAAAGAACAGGGAGACAGAGTGAGCAAGACAGACAGAGCATCCTTCTTCCTTGCCGCCTTAAATAATTCAAGAAAAGAGTACTCTTTACAATGGACTGCGTTAAATGCACAAAAAAGTGTCACTTTTACCCAGTTTTTTTAAATTATATTAATAGCATTTTTATTTAATATCTTTCCTCTTAAGCCTTTTTTTTGGGGGGGAGGGAACTGATGTAGACTGTTAGGGTAGAGGGCCAGGGAAAGTGTATTTTAAATCTCTGAGTCATTATATTAGCTTTTAACAAATTGCTACCGAGGGACAGTGAGTGAATTTTTATTGATAAAGAAAGAATGGAGGATTGCTTCCTCTCTCTGTCTCTTGTATGCATGCACGCTTCTTAATTGAATAATTTCACTCTAAATTCTCATTAGGATTAGAAGGATTATTGGAGGTGGTAGGTGACCCCCACATCCTAGAATAACTTGTCATCCTCTTAAAAATAATAAATTGTCTTCAGGTTTTCATTGAAACCATAGGTTAAAACTAAAGCCCCAAAGGAGAAATTTAGCACTGATGAGCGTCAATCCCAACTTTGCATTAGTTTACCATGTTAATTTATGACAAATCTACCCTTTTTTCCCCTACAATATTCTTACTTGTAGCTAGAAGAAATAATTGGTAAGGTGGAGACATCATTACCAGTCAAGTCTCCTGAAATTGACTTTAAAAATTCTTGCAAAATATAAAGCATATGCTTAAGAATAATATTAATTTGGTTGTGGGCAGTTTGCATGTGCTTTTTAAAAAACATGTAATAAAAAAAAAGACCTGCTTCTTGTTTACAGAGCCCAGTACTTTGAAATTTCTCATGACGCAAAGCAGTCCTTCATGTACATAACCTATGAATTATCCTTGAAATAAAATCTTTAATTACAGTTGACATTTCTGAACCCATTGCAGGTGGTGCCCATCTGAAGAGTGACATTGTTTACTACACTACAAGGCTCCGGGCCTGGTGTCAGAGATTATAAACCAATTTCCATCCCAGCTCTAATGCTGGTTTAATATCAGAAGAAGAACTTTACTGTGTAAATATTAAACATTTTGTTTAAATATTAAGTACCAAAGGTCTTTTCCTTTTGATTATTAAAACAGGAAGGGCCCCAACTTTGAAAGAGGTTCCTTGTTGTATTAAGAAAATGACTGGTTCTTTACCTGCAGGTTAATTATCACTGGCCGGAGACGCATGCTTGGGCAAAATGTCAGTTGTCTACTTGTACCGTTGTGAACCTCGATCCTTAATAGCTGACCAAGAGTCTGTATCACTAATAATGAGCTTATAGGAATTGTGCGTTTTCTGTTACTCGTTATCCAGGAAGTGATCTTATGATAATTGACCAAAAAAAGCAGTCTCCTTGCTGGACGCAGGTAGAGCAGGAGAGGGAATCTCAGGGAAGTGGCTCCTGAGTGACCCAACTTTTGCATTCCTTGGTTTGATCAACACCAAACTGCAAAGGAGCTGATCATCTGAAGGATTGACAAGGAAGGATCCACTGTGAAACATATGCTTGTTTGCCCACCTAAGACTGAAATTAAACCAGGGAAGTGGAAATTTATGAATACCTGTCCCGCAGACAAATATTCAAGATGGATGCAAACTCTCCACTGAGAGATTACATCTTCCACGTAATTGCAACGGGAGCTACCGTGAGAATATCACAATTCCTCTCAATCATGGAAAAATGAGCTGTGTTTTTTATTCTGTGGTACACAGGGTTTGCTAGCTTTGTATCCTTTATTTTACGCATTGTCTTTAAATCCTTGAGTGAGAACATTCTGCATCTATTAGGCAAGTCTGAGACATCCAGATGTTGCTCTTAAATTGATAGCTCTTGGGTCTGCCTTATTGAAGTGCTTATAAGAAGGCAAATAAACGCTGGTTTTAGGCTTTTGGTATTCAAATAAATTCAACACCCCTAAATATGGAAGCGTCTTTAGAATTCTGTCTGAGAAAGATGATGAAACCAGGCAAATCTCGTTAGAGGAATGTTTTAGAGCACAGCGGTTTGATGAGAAAAGGGAAAAGGGCCTCTGCTGATTTTTTTCCTAGAATTGTTGAACCTAATAATATTTACATGTAGAGGGTTGGATGGTGACATTACAAAGCAGCTTATAGGACATGCGTCAATTTACCAGTACCTCACAAGCACTTTAAAAAACCCTTTTCAACTATTTAATTGATTAACATATGTGGATATTGAGCTACTATTTTTGCCTGACATTTTGGTGAGCCTTTAGACATTTAAGGTACATATAAAAAGTCGAGGTTAATTTACTTAATCCAGTCAGAAAAGTGTTTTACTTATTAAACTGTTCAATGGTAGGAAAACAAATTTGGCTAGCTAAGGTGTGATCAGATTTTATGGGACTTTAGCAACTAGAGAAACGAGGTTGGGAGCAGTACTATCCTTGAGCTGCGTGATTTGGGGAGACTTATGTCACAGTGGTAAGAGGGACATTTGGTAAGGGGAGAGACTAGGACTGGAGAACCCCACTGGAAGCTATGGCAGTAGTCCACTCAGATTAAAAAGGGTTTAGGTTATTGCGGTAACAGTGGACATGAACAGGAGAGGTGGTTTCTAGAAAATTTTATATTTGGTGGTTACTAGTAGCTCTTTAAAAATTATGTTTCTCATTATTTTTCCTCATATGAGAGGTATGGAAAATGTAACCCCATGGCCAGAGAATGAGTCAAGGGTTTGGAAGGCAGGCATTGTTTTCTTGGTGAGATTAGTGACACTATGTGACTTTGGACTTTCTATACCTTCTGGCTGCCCTGCCCTGGCATTCAATATGACCACAGCAGATGATCTAACTACCAGAGAAGACTTTGAACATGTTTCGAGGTACCTGTGTGAAAGATTCTTTAGAATTAAAAGAATTCTTCTTAATATCCATGGCAATTTTTTTTTCATTCCAACCACCCAAAGGTAGGAGGCCAGCTGACATTTTGAGTCAAAACTCATACATTGTTAACCTTTTAAACATTAGTTTGCCTTTTCCTCATTTGTGTGTCATTTGTTAGTATCCTTCAAAAATTTCCTTTTTGAAAGATTTAGACTGCTCCTTATTTAATTTGGTAGTTCAATTAAATATGATTCCATTTCCAATGCCTACTTTAGCGAAATCTTTGAGATCCCTCCTTAGTTGAGATTTCTTTAGTCTTAGGGTGCTATTTTCCAAGTACGAATATACTTTAAATTGTGAGGAACTTTTTATGGTTAAGAATGTTCACAGTGACTATAGTTAATAATATTGTATTTTATATATGAAAGTTGCTGGGAGAGTAAATCTTTAAAGTTCTCATCATAAGAAAAAACATCATAGCTATGTATGGTGACGGATATAACTAGACTTATTGTGGTGATCATTTTGCCATTTATACGAATGTCGAATCATAATGTTGTATACCCGAAACTAATATAATTTATATGTCAATTATATCTCAATAAAAAGTCTTCATATTTTCTACGAATATCTCTTGCTTACTTTTCACTCAAAAAGCAACAGACTTCTTATTATACAAAAAGATCTCTGCCATACATACTAAAGATATAATAACCAGTGATATTCGTTCATTCAGAAATATATCTATGATATAGAAAGCACATGCCAAGTGTATAATGCGTCAGTAGATAAAAGGTGAACTCCACCTGAAGAAATCTTTGAACTGGGGCCTGGACAGAGGTGGGGTTATGATAGGGAAGGAGAGCATACTCAGCTCAGGCATGCTTTTTGCAAAGATATCAAGACACCAAAGTCCAAGGTGTGGTGAGGAGAGACAAAGGAGGCCAGGGGTGGCCACTTGGAAGTCTATGCTTAGTCCACGTTTGGTACAAACAGTGCACAGATAGAAATGTTTGAATGCTATAAAATGGAAAGAAAATATGGGGATAATAGTAGATATCAAGAGGAAGAGGAAAAGGAGTCTGATCAAGCTAAATTGGCCTATTTTTGAAAAAGCGTAACTGTTTAGAATTGTGCAATGGGATTTTCTTTCTGTTCATTTCATAAGAGAAGATCATTTTTAGCACTGTGTCCTGGTGTTCCATGCTCCTTGGTTAAAGGTCATCTCCTCCAACTCTTAGAAGCAAATGGAACAATCAACTTCCCCCACCGCTGATTTCTATTTCAAGGAACCTGCAAAATATATTTCATTTTCATAAGTATCATTGATAAGAGTGCTTCCACTTCACTCCTGGGCTCTTTACAGACCACGTTGTTCTTGGAAATGTTGAAATATTAAAACCCAGGCATTATGAAGATTCATGGATAAGTTCTCTGGAGATTCTTGAAACAAGAGTCACCTTATGAGAAGTAGAGCATGCTGGTCTTTTAGGTAATACTACTCTGTAAATACAAATCACCACAATTATAATTGGTACTCCTTTTACAGAATGAAAGTGATTGTTTCTCTGAGTTCTTAGGAGAAAAAAAAGACCTTCATAAATCCACTCTCAGTCTAGGGAAAAGGAACACTCAAAAATCTAATGTTGACATGAAAATAGAACAATTTTTCTAGATGAGAACAAGTACATTGAAGAAGAAATTATGTTCTATCCAAAGTCGACTTTGTACATATTATGGTCCTTCCTGTAGACTCCTCGATGATAGGAACCACTTTTGAGTTTCTCAGGAAACATGTGAAATGTGCTTTTTTCAAGATATTTTGACCTGGCTTCTGGTTACCGGATGCATTAGTAAAATTACTTTCAGTTTTTGAAAAGAAAAAAATACGTGTCTTCATAGTAGATTTGCTTAAAAATTTTAGGATTGGGATTCGGATGGTTGTATGTTTCACAATGGAAATGTTGCTGAGACCTCTTACACAGTAATTTAAAAAATTGTTGCTATTATAAAATAGCAAGCATAGCTCCCCATTAAACACATCAGTTAAATAGCACATTCTCTAATTTATTAATATATTTTGCTGCAATTCTTCTCACTTTTGGTTTTACTGAAAATAAACTTTCAGAAAATATTCTATCTTCAAACTAAACATATTGATATTCTTTTAGGATACCAAATTTTAAAAGTGAGAACTGACCCTCTGTCAAAAGGACTGTATAATATCAAATTTTTTCTAGTCTGTTTCATTGTTTTTCATACACTATTGACAAAAATTAAATTTTCTTTTAGAAATGATTTCAAATAGATCCATTTGTGTTCTCCTGACATTTTAAACTTGCTTATGTAAAATTATTTCATCTTTTTTTATTGAAAGGTACTAAGCATTTCACAAGTCATGATATATCCTTTAGTGTGGAATGATTGCTGATTCAAGTTTAAAAATATGGAAGATACTAATGTAGAAGAGAGAAATAATTGGGGCAGCTTCCTTTGTGACATCATTGCAGAAAGCCCTGGACTAATGCAGAGAATATACACACAAAAGGAGCTGCCCATTTCTTGCCTAAATAGGCAGAATCAGGAAAGCCTAGATTACCTTTTCTTAGAATTCACCCACATTTTAAAATACATGTCATTAGTTGTTTATCAGCAGACTTAAAAAAAAAATTTCTGCCAAGGTAACTAACAAATTATATCAGGTGAAAAGGAAAGAAGGCCAATTTCTTTTACTTTGCATCAGGAGTAAAACCTAGCATGAGACATATTGGTGAAATTTGTGTGGGCTGGTAATTTGCACAACCTATTTACAAGGTAATAATACATTTACCAGATATTCAAATAATATATATTACAGAGATTAGAGAGCAAAGGAAATGGCTCTGACAGAAGTACGGCCAGAGGTACCCTTCATTTGAAGAAATGCGTAGAAAGGATCCACTATTAAGAGTCCTTTGTAGGAATGATCGCTTGTCCTGTGTATCAGTCCAACCCTACAAATTAAATAGCAAATGGATTGCTACATTTTGAAGAAATATGATTACTTAATGCACATTTGTAATTCCAAGCAGCACAAACTAGGATGTTTCCTTTCTATTATTTCAAACCTAAACTCCCATATCTGCTTTGCCTTTACCACAGGTCTGTGAACTGGAAATTACATTTTGACACATTTGTATTATTACTAAGGCTTGATCCTAAGGGGTAAATTTTCCATGCATGGCAGTGGGATTAGGCTGTGTAATTCCTATTAATACTAATAACAGTCAATTACTAGACTCTGGAATATACCTAAAGAATTTTTCCTAAAGCCTAAATACATGAAAACAATTTCTTTTAGTCAAACTCAATATCAGGCATAGTATAAACCTTCATGGAACCAAAGAGAGAAAAGATCTGAATATTAAAAAAAGTAAAGAATCACAATTATTAAAAAGGATTACTTGAACTTGTGGAACAAATTCATAATGCTTTCACATCTCATCAAAAAAATACAGGGTTGGTGGGGGAACAGCACAAAAGCCAAAAGAAATGACACTTCCACCTTCCAGCAGAGCCTCTGAGCAAGCCATGCCATGCCCTCATGCACGCACTGGGGATGTGTGATGCTCGGCTACCCCTGACCAGCGGGCTGTCTCCGGTTCTGTAATAGTTTGGGCCTTCATTGGATTTAGTTTGGTTCTCATTCTGCTTCATTTGACTCTCCTACTCCCTGAGTTTAATGAAATCAGTAGCCAATACAAATTTAATTTCTCAAAAATGACTCACTGTACAAATCCAGCCTTTAAGAAAACATTGCCTAGAGAGGGATGGACCTTAGACAATATTGTACTTGTCACGAGCTTGTGATAGGTACTCTTGGATTTGGCTGTGACCTCTTCACAGGCGTTACCCTCTCTACCCACAAAATTCTAGTTCCTCCTATTCCCATCCCTACAAAGCCAACTTCAATACTTTGAACATTGATTTATGTCCCTAACCTGAAGTCCATCTCCTTTAGTGACGGAGTGCGGGCTCCTCAGTCAGACTTAAAGTTTTGTGAGTTTGGGCGAATTGGTTATCTTCGCTAGGCTTCATTGCTCTCAACTGTAAAATGGAGATAAGAACAGTATCTCATAGGATGGTTGAAGGAATTAAGGGAATTAAGAGATGTAACATTCTTGAAACAACGCTGAGCATATTGTAGATACTAATAAATGTTAATTATAATTCCATAGATCTTTGTACATCATCCTCTTATATTTATTTAGTGATATTTTACACTCTTTCTTCTCTCCTCACCTTATAAGGCAGATCTTGTTTCTGTCTGCTGAGTCCTTAGGCTCTTGTTTTGCTGTTCAGGTTAATGGGAAAGCAATGAAGGGGAAGGAACTAAGAAAGATCAGGCTGACATGGCTTAGAGAAGACCCTCAGCAATGTGGAGGAGAAGAGAATTTGTCTGGACAGTGGGAAGAACGAGTGAGAGAAGAGGGATCATGAGGCCAGCTTTAGGTAGAGAATTTATGTGAGGGAGGTGGGGATTGGAGGGGAGCTGAGGGCAGGAAGAGGTGGAGGATGGGAAAGAAGGGGCGGAGGAGAGGAGGATGCACCAAGCTGAAGAGGAGCCTTAGCAGGTATGGAAACAGATCACTGAGCTCCAGGCAATGCTGTTTATTCTCCAGCATCAGTAAAACTTTAAATTCTTTCTTTCTCTTTCTCCCTCTCTTTTCCCCCTTTTTCTTTTCTTCTTCTCCTTTTACTTTAACACGGGATTTATTTTATTTACTTATGGGGAGAGGTTAAGTGCGGTATCATTTTCCCTCCTGATCAGGAGCTCTCTCTAGACACAGACACCAGCATTCTTATGTCCTCAAAGTGTGTGGCGCTTTCCACAGAGGTGACTGTCATCTATTCCCCCAAAAATATTAATTATAAGGACAAATATACTGTTCTGAAGGGGTTTTTTTAAATGGACATATTTTGGAAAGATTTAATTTCACTTCAATCCAGCAAATCAATAATACGTAACAGTTAACATAGCACGTTGGATCTTTATAGTATTTAAAATATTTTCATGCTCATGGTCTCACTTGTTACCTCCACAATAACTTTGTGCATTTATGGGTCAGGAGCTATCATCATGCTCTGAGATGCGCCAGTCCTAGAACTAATAAGGTCCTGTGACTCCTATTATATATTCATTCCACTCCATCACAATGTGTCCCTGATTATTTCCATAGGCCCATATGATCTCTCCATTCTCTGAGCTTCTAGAATTCCCTCCACATTTTTGTCAGCATTCCATAGTTTTCCTTTATTTGTGTACTAATTGTTTTAAGTTTTTTAGCTCCTGTTGGCAAGGGGCTGACTTTCTTCAGGATGCACGGGAGCTGCACATGAGCCTGAGATCTCCAACCAGTTTCCTTGCCCTGGTGCAGAAGCCAGACAATTGGACAACTTATTTTTATTTTCTGTTCTAGGAAGTCTTGCCTTAGGTCATACTGCTGACGTGGGGTTTAGAACCCACAACCTCCATGGTTTCGCCCTTTGAGCCTTGCTGCATTTACGTTTAGTGATTAGCACTTAGAAAACTACTGAGGGCAATCCCCATGGCACCTGTGTACAAT